ATCAAATACCGTATTGACCAAATTATGGGCAAGGCGGAACTTGGCCTCCAGCATTGGTTCGAAATCCGGTCGGTTTAGAAGCTCCTTCAGTGTACACAAGTTGTCGAGAGGATTCTGGGTAAAATTTTCGAAAGTCACCGGATTGAAACCAGGTGGAAACTGATAGATCAGTGCCAGTCTAGATTGTCTCATATCCTCATGATATCCTAAAAGGAGAGGAAGACCGATCCACGAACCAGGAGACCTTTGAGAATCCGTCTGGAGGCCGGCACTTAGCTTCTCAAACCGAGACATGTCGGGCATGATACCGGTCGCCGAGTATATCGGATCGAATGGTGCATATTCTACGAGGAGGGGAGACCAAGGCTGCGGTCCCTGTCGATGACTCGGTTCCCCGTGGGCCTGCCTGCCCATGAAAAATATCTCTTGGGGTCGATCCCGTGTCATCTCCGTCTCTGAGACGGACGCGGGTTGCATCGATCTTAAATTTGTGAGAGCTTGCAGGTCAATTTGTTGAGGTGTTCGAATCCTCGTAGAACTATAAGGTCGTAAGTCTTCGGTCGAAGCGATAGGTTTAAATTGACCCGCAGCCCGCGATACTGCCGCAGAAGACCGCGTCCGAGAAAGATCACAGAGTGTATCGATAGACGCGGTTAAATCCTTGACGAGGTCCTCAAACCTCCCCTTATCCCAAACTACTAAAGGAGCCTTTCGGTCGCCTATCCCCTTTTCCGATTTCTTCTCGCTTCCGACAGCCTGCCTCGAAGCAAGCCACAGAGGTTCGGCTTCCGCGAGGATGTCTTTGATAGTAGCCATTATACTGCCTACGAGATCACTCAGGCCCGCTTTAGATAGCGATTCGTCAATCTCTGCAGCCTGGTTCGGATCAGACCATTCTAAGCCCCAGCTTACCAAGCGGTCCTTTTGTATTCGCAGCTTGCGATGCAGAGCTTTTATATCGGGGTCATCAGGACTCGGGGCTGATTCCTTGACGAAGTCGGATGACTTTTTTGTGTCATTGTAGAGCCTACTAAGTCGACGTTGGAAAGGCAGCTGGAAGCCGCCGCGGGGTAGAAAGGACTCCATGGTGACTGATTATGGATATAGATACAACAACCTATGGTATATAAATTCGAGCCTCTCGGGGTTTGAAGTTGGTTATTTCGCGGAATAGCACCGATTATATAGACATATAGAAATATATCTCTCGTCGGTAGATGGTAGATAATATAACGTCAGCCTGAGCGGTTCGAATTTCCGTCGTCTCTCCTCAGCACGACATTGGCAGGTTTAGTTAATTACGGGTATATAAAAGCCTTAGGCGTAGAACAAAATTAATACGCATGTATAGATAGAGCAGCGTGAGCTGAATCGAGAGGGAATCCCAATGCTACTTGAACTGGTGATTCAAACGAGAAGCGTCAACAAAACCCCCAAACAGGAGTGAGTGAGCCTTAGTATGTACGCATCCGCGTGTGTGGAAACGGCTAGGCATACAAAGGCGAGGCCGCGAGACTCCTCGCATCATCCAACATTAGGAAGCTCCCCCGTCGTGTGACAGACGAGACGAAGAAGTAATTCAGCTGCCTTGAGCCCCGCGAAGAAGCGCAGCGTAAAAGTAATTTCGGTGCCTAGACGCATGTGTATGCGGATCCATTGATAGGCAAGGTATGAAGACTAGTTAAACTCAGGTTAGACGAATCTTGCTTCAAGTAGCTACCTAGGTAGGTAGGTATGCTTCTTTACGTTTGGCTGCTAAAGTTTCGGAGTCGGAGTGCTGTGAGTAAGGCAAGGTTCAAAATGCTGCTGCCTGTATCAAGTGGAATTAAAGTTTGAAGATGCAATAATTTGATTGGTTCTAAATCGCTGCTAAGCAGCAAGTCCACATGGCGTTCAAATTGGACAGGGATATCGTACATTGCGACGTAGGTACCTTTTTTCTAGGGTACATGGATATAGGTACCGACAGGCCGATACATCTGACGCACAGCTGGTTCGTTTATTGACGCACGATGAGCCGACGCTACATGTACCTCCTAACCTATATGTACATGCAGGTAGGTTAGGTATTCATTTACAGTTCTTCATTTACTTTTTCTAATAATATTATAATGCTAATATTTCCGTCTTCGCTCGGCCTGATCGCTCTTTGTTTACCTAGGTAGGTACTCTGGCTTGCCGACAATCCATATTGTCTCGATATCACAAAGACAACTTATGTTTGCTTTGTATAAAAGATTCGGGCCTTGTTTTACGGTCCCCGGCTTAATCAGGTATTTAACAGCTAGGATCGAAACTCGTGCTATAAAATCAGCCGCAGCAATTTATCTCGATCCATCATCAGCTGGCACTAAGGTCTCAGATTAACGTACATGTGTATTAGACTGTGAATCTGAGCCTAGCCGATTCCGAATCTTCTATCTGCAGGTCAGAAACTTCTCCAGTAAGTCCGATAGTTCGTATTCTCAAGTCGGTCTTCCTGTATTCCTTACAAAAGTATCATCACAACATATTATCATGGCTTCCAGATTTCAAGTAGACGGTATAATCCTCACGATTCCTACCGGAAACGGTCAGCACTGCTGGAAATTCGACATCGTTTATTCATGCGGGCATCCTGTCATCGAAACACATTGCGGCCACATCCATGACAAGGTCATCCGCATCAAGCGCAATGACCACAGTGGTCCCTGCTGGGCGCGGCGGTGCGTCGTAGCGACGAACACTCACTTTATTCCCGAGAAGTGTCATCGTTGCGAGATGTATGACCTGAATTCCGAAGGCATCCGGCCGTGAAATTCCTAGATAATTCCTAGATAATTCCTAGCTGTGGAGCAGCTGTCGAGTAGATAGTAAGTACGTTTTGAGCGACGTAAGCAATAAGGTATGTTCTTAGTAGGTACTTTGATCTAGTCTCGTCTATTTTTGGCCCGGGATGGTGTGTTCAAGCTAGGCTTCACTATTTAGACCGGCGAACTTAAGAGTGTCCAGTAGGTAAAATTATCTTCTATAAACTCTTATATTACATTAATAATAATAATCTTCGTTCTATATAAGCCATCATTCTACACTGATTATATACAGTTAATTATACTACGGATACCGTCTCTTGAGCATAAACTGACCTACCTAGGAACTCACTCGACCCTTAGTAAACTATACCAAGACTTTCTAGAGTTATTAAGACCGCTTATGTTCTCTTCATTCATATATATGCGGCCGTTGTCATGACCAAGTAGCTTCTCGTCATCTGCCAACACGTAGGATATGCTAGGCCCAATTGTTTAAGATGTAACCCAAGGGATGGTTCGGTACAACTAGCCTGTTATTGGATCGGGAGAAACGACACTAGCATCTATTTTCAGATAATATTTCTGCCTGCTCATTCTTATGCACGTAAGATTGTTGGTAGAAACTTCCATGAAACCGTTCCAGTTGACAATACGGGTTAGTAGCAAGTGCTCCTATTCCCCTATTCTTTCATGGACTATAATCATCACTATGGTACAACAGGTCGTGATCGGATTGTTGGCTTATCTCTAAAGGCTCTTACTGCGACCTAATTCTTACGACGCCAATAACACCTATACGTTCTAACATGAAAGCTATCTCTAATGTATTAGAAAGGGGTTCTCAAAGACTACCTATTTACTAACATATGATAAGGGCGAGAAAAGTCATCAAAGCAAGTACAAGTCACATATAATATGAATTCCCAAGATTTAAACCGGGATAAGTGTCTAAAGTTGAGCGCCGAACGCGATAATTAGAACCCTCTAGCTTACATTATCTCGTGACCACCTCCTTAGGCAGCCTTATATTTCTATTATCAGTTATCATAAAAGCCAAGCACCCTTAGATACCCCCGGGCAATCTAACTGGTGCTAATAAATGGTTCGATCGAGATATCGGATCTATAGCTAAAAGTTGCTTAAATACCCGACTGCAATGCAACGTTCACAAGTCTCCATGTCTAATAGTTCGCGAGCCACGGGCGGGGTGATTAGGAAAACATATCAAAGACTACATATCGCATAGAGAAATCTTGTAAATAGTTACACAGGTGCTCTGTCCGAGGGACGAGGGGCCGTGAAAAAAACTAATAGCAGATCCCCCATTCGCCAATAACCCGGCTAACACGCATGGCACGAGCGTCAAGGCTTTCATAACACGAGGTTATTGCTTTGAACTGCCGGCTGCTGTACTCCGTGATGGAATTCGTAGACTTCGAATGAATATCGGTCCGGGATATGGTGCGCTCGCGCCCCCGAGATCTGGCTACCTGCAGGATCAGGCGGAGGTGATTTAGCTGAGTCCTTATGTCTCGAGACGGCCGGCAAGTCGCATCGGGCCAAAAAGGTGGCGCGAGGCCGGAACGACCTAGAATCCCAATGAAAGATCACTTGGAGGTAATCAAACAGATTCATGTTGGCAAGCGAGGCTTATGCGGCCGGAGAGGCCAGCATACGGTTGTTTGCAGCGCCTCGCGGCATATTTTCTTCATCGCCGTCGTAGAATATTACAGTTCACTTGCGTCAACTCATATATCGGCAAAGGGATGCAATGTCGTAGCTCCTAAATACGCATTAATGGGCTTACGAGGCTTTAAGGGGTCGTCGGGACGTTGCAGCTTGTTCCTCGATAAATGTGGGAAAATAGACTATTCCGGACTCATCAATAGTAGGGATAGAAAAGATTGCAACTCTAATAGAGCTAGTGATCAGGTACGAATACGCCAGAGCCAAGTAGTGACCGAATGTAGGGCCGTAGGCTACGTGATGCCTCCCGATACGTAGACATGTCTCGGGAAATCGAAACAGATTGACGATATGGCATCGCACGATCCACCAGCCAACACCAAAACCGGTTTCGTACCTCGCGACAAACGCGACGCTCAGTTACACCAATCGAGACGGTACTTCTAAACCTATATCCGTAGGTATGGTCCAGCACATCATCGACTGGGTTTCGAACACCGAAGAAAGGCAACGTCAAACGCCATGGCAAACCTGGGGAGCACAATTGCAAAAGATCCGCAGCAAACTGAAGACATGTCAGTTCGCACACAGACGATCGTTTGGCCTGCTTCAACGTTTGTTACGACGTGGACTTTGGGAACAGGCTCTGACCCGACCGAATCTCCGGCTACCGTTGTCCCCGCGCCAAATTCGAGTTCAACGAGCAATCAAAATGTCGGTCCTATCCTCAGTGGTGTCGTGGTATTATTAGTATTGATATTAATTTTCTGGTTTTGCTGTCGGCAGGGTGAGTTGGACCTGTCTTTAGAGGATGAACATGTAGATAGAACTAATTACTCTCTATTTAGCCGGCCCTAACGGTCGTAACTCAAAGCGCTCAAGTCGGCGACAGGGATCGAGTTATACAAGCAAAGGTAGCTCTAGCAGTTCAGGAGCTTCAAACACTTCATCTCAGAACGACGCAAGTGTCGGGTCGGCAGCAAGCGAGATAGTTGAAGACCAATGGAACCAACAAGCACCGGTGCCTGAAAGGCCAATGCCGGGAATGCCACCACCTGTCGCGGGACAATGGCCGGCACAACGGCCCGAGGTTGGAATTGGACAAGCGCCGCTGCCGCCTCGTCCAGGTATGGGTTTCCCACTAGGCCGCGGCGGGCCTCCGCCGATGATGGGACAGGGGTTACCGGGTCGAGGAGGACCTCCGCCAATAATGGGCCGCGGCGGATTTCCTCCAGGCGTCATGCAATAGTTCTTCAAACTTCAAGTTTCAACTTTCTCCTCGAAGAGTGCTTCCATCCCGAAGGCTCAGTTATTCCCATGACAGTCTCGCCAGCAGAGGGAGTGGCGGTTCATAAGGTTCTTTAGGGCACTTCACTCCGAATGGAATACATGACTGCCTGGGATTCCTATAATTCGAGCTGTTTACTAGACGACTTAGGGGAGGGTATAATAGCACGACGGAATCCTGGAGCTATACAATGACGACCATCCACATCCCTTCCCAGCAGCCTTTTTTTCACCCTTTCCCACACGACAGGGCCTCTTTTTGTACCTCCATATCGCCAACTACTTCCAACGGACTCGTTATGGAGAAGATAGTCCTTGGCAAACCCGAAGACGAACAAGGCCAAAATGCAGACAGCGAAGCTCCAACGCAGACCATCAGCAACTTGACCGACGAAGAAGTACGGGAACAGCGGTAGCAGTCCACCGAGCATGTACCCGACGGATTCTGACAGTCCGACCACCGCAGGCGGGAATCCCTTGGTCTTACTTGTTAAACCATCGGCAGTCGAGTTCAAGTGGCACAGCAGCCGCCGCGACACAGCAGGATTATAGTCGATATGAGCTTTTACGTATTGGAGAAGATGAGGCGGGAGTTCTAAGGGTGCGAGATATTCTAAGATGCTCTCTCGTCCAGCCAACTCGAGCCCCTCGCCGTGATCTCGGCTCTTCATGGCTATTTCCCCCTTCGCCGCAAGATATCCACCGATGCCCATGCTGATGCTGATGCACCTAGCACAAATTTCGGCCATCCCGGCGTAGATGACCGTCTTAGTGTAACCTAGGGACGATAATCCTGCCGTCAGTGCGAATGAAACCTTGAGGCCATCTGCAAAACCAAAGGTGAAGTGGGAGAGGAACTCGGGAAGGCGACCTAGAGATAGATTCCGCCGGTAATCCGTTTGGAAGCTGTCAAGGCTAGAATCATCACTTATGCTTTCAGCACTCATCGGAATGTCGATGATATTTTCTGGATTTGTGGCCAAGGTGGAATAAGCCTGTAGGGTCTTTTTGGCTCCGTTGGCGTTGGCGACCTAAACCGACGAAGAATGCTTTAATATCGGTAAGTTGCATGTTGATTTAAACTATAGACGACGTGACTTGGGGGTAATGCTAGTGATGCTAGTGATGCTAGTTGGAACAATACTTTGATATTGCGGCTATTCAGACTTGAAGATAGAGTTGCATGCAAGTGATTGTGCCAACCTATCGTATTCTTGAAGTCGACAATGATACTAGTCGTGCCTACTTGACTTACAAGCCCTCTTCATATGAGCTACATACGCCTACCTACCTAGGTACCTAAGTCTTAGGCTTAGTTTCTAAGTAATGTGACTACCTATTGACCGAGTTTGGAAAGTAGCCACAGTCCAGCCCGAGGTCGAAAGAGCAAAAGGTAAGGACAAAAGGGGCCAATCATTGAGAAGGGAGTAAGCAGAACGTTTAGCTCTCGGGATTGGCAGTTCAGTGGCGTACCAGTAAAGTGCAATGCATTGTCAGCGGTTTCTTTTGGGGGGGAGACGACAGGGGGTTCATACCCAATGCTTGGCCATTCAAGACTCCACGTGCTCGGCCTGCTTGTCTATGCCATTTGAACGTATCATACCAAATACACGATAAACTTGGTTTAGTCCTAGAATCTCTCACGATATGAAATGATCTTCAGCATGTCTCCATCTTTATTGTAGAGTATGATACTGAACGGCTGGCTTCTGGAAGAGATCGACGACAACTGATCGTGATGGTCGCCTGACCCTTGTCGATCTGGCTATTTTTGGTGATCAAGTAAAGTACCTAGAAGACTAGAATTCATACATACCTAACCTAGTAATCTTCAAACTTCTCGTTTGGACAGAAGTAAACCGAGGCTCACAAATTTCGCTTTCTCCGCGTATATACAGTAGACTATTATGACATTAACATCTAGCTGAGGATTTCAGGGTTTCTATAGGTAACCTTCTAGGTCACCTTCCAAAGTAGAAAAGATGAATGTAACCCTACCCCGGTGAAAGGAACTCGGTCTCTCCACTCATAAATCCTAGTATCCGCCAATAGTTATAACGGCCCGCGCCCATGTGTAAGCGATACCTGGTGCACTGCCGGTTCAAAACTTCTCATCGCGGCGGCGGTGTCGTAGACTTCTAGTCTCTTATTCAAAGGTAACGACCTCGCCGTGTCGTGGTGAAAGAGTTTGGTAATTTTCGACCGCTTGCTTGATCTCTATGCTCATTGCGTCGTAATCAGCGTGAGTTGGACATCATGCACCCTCTCATTCTCTCGGCTGCAATCTTCGCGGCCAACGTCGCCGCTCAAGCAGAAAATACGTACACTGCGACAGCAACCAGCGATGTTGAGAAAGCTAGAGCTACGGCGAAAACCCTCAGCCCTACTAGCAATGTTAAGGGAAAGGCCTTTGACCGACTCGCCATCATATGGCTGGAGAATACGGACTACGACATGGCATTAGGCGATCGTAAGTCACTTAGCCACGAAGACAGAGTAAAATTCGGGAAATGATAACTAAACGATCAATAGCAAACCTAGCGTGGCTAGCCAAGCGAGGCATAACGCTCTCCAACTACCACGCGGTGACGCACCCCTCGCAGCCAAACTACATCGCTGCTATCGGCGGTGACTACTTCGGGATGCAGCACGATGACTTCACGCAAGTCGACAAGAATGTTTCCACCATTATCGACCTGCTCGAGGACAAGGGTATCTCATGGGGCGAGTACCAGGAAGACATACCGTACAGCGGCTTCGAAGGCATCGCGTATATTAACCAGAAAAACGGCAAAAACGACTACGTCCGGAAGCACAACCCGGCCGTCAGCTATAACGCGAATGCTCGCCTGATCGACCGTCTGGCCGTCATCAAGAACCTAACCAGTACGTACTTTATCATTTTAGGAGGGGTTTCCAGCAACTACTTAGAAGCCTACCTGGAGATCACGACGATTACCTTACGATGATTCTTGAGCATATACTTACTAACTGACCTCATAGCATTCTACCAAGACCTTGAGAACGAGACTCTCCCGCAATGGATGTTCATCACTCCCAACATGACAAGCGACGGCCACGATACCGATGTGACCGTCTCCGGGACCTGGACCCGGACCTTCCTGGAGCCCCTTCTCTCCGACAAGCGCTTCATGCAGAACACCTTAGTAGTAATCACTTTCGACGAGAACGAGACCTACTCGATCCAAAACCGTATCCTAGCCATCCTAATCGGCGACGCCGTGCCTCCTGATTTAGTTGGCACCACGGACGACTCATACTACAACCACTACAGCGAGATCGCGACCGCCGAAGCAAACTGGGACCTGCACACGCTCGGGCGCTTCGACGTCGGCGCCAACGTATTCAAATTCGTCGCCGAGAAGACAGGGGATACCGTACGCTCCTGGAACGGTGATGTCCTGCTTGCAGACATGTACTTCAACTCCTCGTACGCGGGGCCGCTGAATGACGAGGGCGGCAACAAGCGATACCCGGCGCCGAACTTGGTTGATGCGAGTGACTTGCACAATCGCACCGTGCTACCTAGTATCAAGGAAGCGTGGGAGGGGAGCTCAGCGCCAGTGTACTATTCTTCGAGCTTGGAGACTCCGGATGGGCAGCACCCGCCAAAGGGGTATGTGCCGAGCGAGTAGATACATAGGTTAGCATATGTCTATAACTACCTACCTACCTAGGTACCTACCTAACTATAAACCTTATAGCTATAGACATCTATAGAATACTAGGTTACATGTTGGCATTTATTGATCCCGCCCCTGCCGGCTTCTATTCACTAAATGGCACATTTTAAGAGAAAGAGAAGTGTTAGGCTTATTGAGAAATTGTCCCGTCGGTCGTATTTTTATCCCTTCGCTTGCTATTGGGGGGTCTCTCAACCTTCGGTGGTTTGGATTCTGGTGAAGTTAGCATGGACTGATCTCGATGAGAATAATCAAACCATACAGCTTTTTTTTCTCTTACAACCAGACTCATCTTTCCATCAGACCCAGACAACCTAACAGCATGAGCCTAAGATGTAACATAAGAAAAAAGCATTCGCCAGCTAACTTTGGAACACCACCTAATGCATCTTACAATATATTAGATTTTGACGAAGGATGGATAATAGACTCAATCTAGAACTACACGCTACAACATAAAACAAGGAATAGAGTGAAATGAGGTAGCCAAAATTCTATTCCGAGGTATCCTAGTTTTTATCTGTCCCGAATTGTTAGGCTGCCGGGCTAGCCAACCGAGCACTCCCACGTAACCTATTCGTGTATCCGTTTACTCATCTGTACAGCCAATCCAGTATCCCTAAACCCCAAACTAACATCAGCTCCAACCCATTTTCCCTATTAAGATAGTACAAGTCGGTACGATCCAATAGCTAAAGACGTCGACAGCTATGCGCGCCACAGGATGAATATCCTAGCTCGAGCACAGCCGAACACTAATACGCCACAGCTACGACGCACTCGACACGATGCCGCTTAGGAAACCAACGGTTCACAAGGCGAAATCTAACGTATTTGATTGCTGTTTTATAGCAATATACCTTATTGCAACCCTAGCCACAACCCCCCGAACGCTGTCGCAAACGAGAATTCATTCGTGACCTAATGTGCTGTGATAGTAACGCTTCATTCTCAGAAGCCCACTCCACCTCTGCTTTACCTTCTTGACCTTATCGGTTCTCTCCGAATTACCGCTGAGGTGGGAATGACACCGGTGTGGGTGTCAGGTGGCGGTATAGAAGAATTATGCATTAGGTCCCAACCTTCTTTCCCATCATAGCCGTACGTTCCACGACGAAAATCATCAGTCGTGAACGTCGGCCAGCTTCCAAAGGCACGTGGCCATTTTTTGCAACCGCCCCGTGTACTTGGTGGTATCATAAAAAGCCACATATACACACAAAACGCCTTGATGCTAGACCTGAAACGCCGTTCCGTAAAAGAAAATGCATCGTATATACCGAGAAAATGTTAAGTCGTAATATAAAAATGTAAAACACAAGACGATCGTTGCGCGTTATCAACATCAATCCGAGTGCTGCTGGGAAATTACAATCTCCAGTTCCAGCAAACACGTCGAAGGTCGTCTAAATCGATATTTGAGGGAGAATATCTGCGAGGACTTGCAGTCTTCCTAAGACTCATGATAGGGTTGCCTTCGACGGGAACATGCTCGGTCCCATACGGATTCAATCATTTAACCTCTTATTGCTGTCGCAGTATGAGCGTCTGACAAAAATGGAAAACGATCTTGGGAACTTTGGGAACTCTGGGCGAGGAATGGAGTTGGGTCGGCAGGAAACTTGAACGGTGACGTACCAGCAAGGGGGAGGAAGCCAGTCATCGAACCTGGAGACGTCACCTTACCCGTAGGGGTACTGGAACTAGTCGGGCTAAGACTCTGCTGCGACAGCGGAGATTCTGCCGGAGAAGCACCAATAGCTGCTGACATGTATCCAGTACCAAAGTACGGGTTAAGACTCTGTCGTAGAGAATGATGTATCGCGCTGTGGTGGTGATGATACGACTGATCAGTAATGTTTGGGCTACCATTCGAACTCGAGTCGGTGCTGTTCGACCCATGAATTAACAAATCATCCACCCCGTCATTCCGACCACTGCGCGAGGTTCCATCTCTCATATGAGGACCGGATTGCTTTGAACCGTTGAACTACATCAAACAGAAAAGTTAGTCTAAGCGTTACGAAACTTGATGTCTTCGGTCGTGGTTCTCGTTTCGATGCGAGGCCAGGTCATTACCAGGTGTACGTACAAAGCAGTATTTGTTGAGGATCTCTTCGTACGAAGCCGACGCTATGCTGGCCGAGGAAGAACCATTGTTGGAAACCTTCGGTCCCGATGGGGCAGATGAGGACGCAGGCGGGGCTCGGTTGGGCTGAGATGCCTTGGGTATCTGGGCAGCGGGGACGGCGTTGAACGAAGCTCTCTTATTGGGCTTCATGTACAAGCCATCATTCCGTTGGCTAGATTCGCGGTGTGCCTGTTTAGCGGCAGTGAGCGAAGCCCCGAAGTCGTACCGATTGGCAAAAGCCTGTCCACTCGGAGCTGATAGCCGAGTCGACAAGTTGTCGCTGGGCAGACTGCTCGTCGATTTCGAACCCTTAAGCCGTAGACCGGCAGGCCCAGACTCCCCAAGCACTTCATGGAGGGGTTTATCGAAATTAAGAAATTTCTCATCATCGTCGTCGTCATGCCCGAAATCATCCAACGCACCGACGGGCATAGACCTTGGGCGAGCCGCTGTCGAGGGATTAGCTCGGCGAGTGCTACGTGGTAGGCCGTTGGCAGGGCGAGAAGATACGGACTGGCCGCCCTTCTTGCCATTTGCAGCAATCGTCTTCTTACGGAAATCAACTTGGAAGTTGACGCCATCATTGCTATCCCAATATTCGATGCCGTTGACGATGTATCTAATACAGAAGAACAACGTCTTAGCTTCGAGATTAGCGAAATCAGACAATTTAAGACTGAACTGAAATCGATCGTAACCGGGTTCATTTTCGCGTGGCCTAATCTCGTGGTGGAACTCGGCGGCCACTTCGGAAGTCGTTTTCCAGTAGTCAAACGTAAATCTGCATACTACCGACTTATGAAAAGCCAGGTTGGCTACGGCTATCGATCCTATCAGAGACTTCTGGTCGGGTGACATCCATACTCTTTCCAACCGGACAGGGAGTGCCTTGCGTATCGGAGTCTCTGCAGGAAAGTTGTGCACGACAAGTTCCCATTCAAACGATGCCGGCCGCGCGCTCTTTTTCTCGCTGACTCCGAACGGGTATTCGTTGTCGCTATCGTAGTTATCCGCCGGAGAAGTGCCGGCACTAACTGCGAGTGGCCGGTCAACTTGCAAGAAGTGACGTACGTGTTCGAGATGCGAGTCGAAGTGAACAGCTTTCGAAAACGTCGGCGTTCCAGGCATGCTAGACGGCCTTCTGTGCGGCCGTAACGCCGGTCGAACTAACTCACCCGACTTCTTTCGTACCATCTGCGGCTTCTTAAACGGCTCATCTTGCTCAGAGCCTTCCTCGGACGTACTTATAGACTCCTCTGCTGACTTGGACATATAGATGTGGGAATCCGTGTTCGATCTCGAGTGAGAGATCTTACGGGCTCCGGTGCTAAGTCCAGTGTTAAGGGCAGGCAGAGTGGCTGTAAGAAGTGCTTGGCGCGATTCCCCGGTTAGTTCCTTAACCTGTGACGGTGACAAAAGAAGATCGCCAGGCGAAGATCTGATCGGCGACGTCGAGCGGTGCTGCGGTATCGAGCTGATAGCCTCCTTCAGTTCCTTCATATTTTCAATCTCCCGTCCCCGATTTCGCAATTCAGCAGCTCCTTCATCTTCACTGGCCGATTCTGGGGGAGAGATGATAGCCCCCGGGGGCATGGCCTGCACATCAGCGACCGGAGGCGGGGATTGCCTTACCGGAATCCCGCGGGAGGCTACAATACCCTTCAGATTATCTGAAGTCCCCGGAGGGGTGGTGTCCGGAGTGGGACCATTTACAGCTGGGGGTGATGTAACCGGAGTTGTACTCCCAACCGAAGATGCCCTCCGGTGCCTAGTGAGATAAGAGGTAGACCGGGGTAAAGTAGGTCTCGGTGAGGTTGGGCTTTGCACGGCGAAGGATGGTCTTCGACTGACGTCAGGAGAAGGGGGGGCTGAGGAGGCAGGAGAACGGTGGGATGGGGGCGTGTAAGGCATTCCCAAAGATTCGAACTGTCGCTGGAAAAGTAATATTAGGAGGGTGGAGGGGTAGGAATCCGCAGGGTCGGTGCTGCTGGATTTAGGAATGGCAGATTTCAAATGAGGTAGACAGGGGAATAAACTCCTCGTCCAAACCTCAAGCCACGAATCAGGCCCAGCGGTAGAAGTAGTACCGACGACCTTTGAGTTTGGAGGACCGGTTAGACACTCGCAAAAACCTGGAAAGGAGGAAGGTTCTGTTAGCATTTTTGGATTCGGTGCAAGTTTCCATGATCAAGAGTGCTATTTAGGATCGTGACATCTGACTCTTGCTCGCAAGAGCCTTTCAAAAGGAATATCACGGATAAGAACGAAAAAGGCTGGTAGCATCGGGTGTTTTTAACAAGACTCATCACATAAGAAAATATTGAGGTAAGATGCCAAGGGAATGAGAGATATCTTTAAGCTTGTGGCGTTGTCAGAGGTGACGGCGCCTAGGAATGATATCTCACATACCTAACCCATCTTCCCTCCGACCCTGGAGTCAAAAACAACTCCGCACGTGGTCCACAGGGAGGTTGATGCTGAAGCTGAAAAGCTTATATATGTTGGAATGGGGGAATGTTTTGGGTGGTATATATGGAAATTTGACTTACACGAACCAAAGCAAGCAGAGTGAACTGCTTACAGAACGCCCATAGAAAAATCCACAGAAGCTAAGTTGTTGAGGCGAAGAGAGAATATGCAAAGGCAATATTCCAGCAGCAATGCTAAACTCTTCTCCGGCGTACTCAACAAGGACCTATCGACTAAGGATAACCGACGCTGGAGAGACACTGAGCTGCTGAACAACCGTATCAACGGGCGAAGTGGAATGGGCGTTATATGGTCGTTATAAAATAGAGACCCGGGCGGCGAAAAAAAAAAACCCCCTCGAGAAGCAGAAAATCAAAAAGATCGAGGCCGTAGGGGAATTGACCGTCACAAAGGCTGCGTACGGCGTTTTGTTGGTGATCGGTGTGGTCTAGTGCGTAGGTATCGGATGGAAAAGGTGAATCTTGAAGGATCGTTCTTTGTTACGTTTAATCGGCTTTGTCCTTCTCGAAATCCAGACCAGCAGATACGTACCGTGATCTCTCTTGTCAACTATCCTCCTCTGGCGGGTTCCTGGAAGTGTGTGAAGGTTCAGCTGGTCGAGACTACAGCTGTGAGTTGCAAATATGACGGAATCGACTCGGAAGGGTTGTGACGGGTTTCTTCGATGTTCAGTGGTCCAAATCCGAATCCACAAAATCCACGGGAGTGCTAGGGCAAAGGCTCTTTTCTTGTTCAACTTCTCTTGTTCGATAATCGAAAGGCAATAGAGAAGGATTTAGGAATTGTGGATGAAAATATCTACAATCCTAGGCCTGCCTTTGAACTGTAGGAAGTAGGAAGGGAGGTGGTGAGAGAAGAAACAAAAACACGGCGGCGAACGGAGGAAGATGTTGTGGGTTGGTAAATGTTAGCTCAGGTTTACATATGTACTAAAACAAGGTATGTACTACAATATGTACACTATAGTATTCGATTCCCCATCCGCGGTGGCCACAAAGTAATCCACTAACCTCCTACTGTTGGGGCGACGGGGGGTAACTACGAGCAGCGATAGGTAACAGCAACAATACCTACATACAGTAGCAGCGCTAACTTGGCGGGCACGGTGGCTGTTAATTTTTTTTTTCTCTTTAGTATCCACTGGGTTAGCCGGGCTTTACATACACTTAGGTACCTACCTCTCTTGAGACAACCCCAGCAAGCTTTTGTCGCCTGCTATGCAATCCATATGCACCGCTATGCCCACAAAGTATAATGGGGCGATGGTCGATGTTTTTCGATGGCAGGAGCATGGGCCACGAACAACATGGGGGGGGCAAGGGGGAGGGGTTCCCAGTATTGAACCAATGATATTATAAGGTCGAAGAGGAAGGACCCAATGGATTGATAACACCATTAAAAATACATTTATTCTGGCCCACAGAGTGATTTGTCGTACACGTACTGTGCTGGACCTAGCCGTAAGCCGCAGTAAGGAAAAAGAAAATCGTGGGTCGTTATCGTACTTAGGTAGAATTGCATCAGTTTTAACACATGATCCCCATACAATGAACACACGTCGACCAGAGAAACGCCTCGACTCGGATGTACGGGAGTTTCTAGAATTCCATCCCTCCCACGTAATACACGATTTCTGGGGAAAAGAAGAAAAAAGAAAAGGAAAAAACAAGAAAAAAAGATTAATTGAGAACCCGATGAAGGTATGCTTTGGGAAGTTCTGCAGGGCGCCTATCTTAAAGAGGACCTTAAAGAGGGCCTTGCGGCTTATGCTGACACTGACACTGACTGATGATACTAATACGTTTTATCACATAACCCAACGGGGTTAGTAAACTGGGTATTTCCAAGATTTTAGCCCTCGCTGTCGGGGGGCCGGCGGCTTACTTGGATTGGATACGAGTCCTTCTGCGAGCTTGCCACCTACATAGTGAGGAAAAAATCATATTACATACCAGTATACTGGCATACCAGCACTACTGCACCAGAGCCGTCAATATATAATAGTCCCACATACACATAGTCACATAGTCGTCGAAATGCATTTAGGATTCGCACATCCACGTATGGGGCCCCGTATCTAGAAAAATAGTATCAAACGACGATGGGCCCATCTGCATGAAATGGAAGCATACCTAACATACCTTACATATGTACGTACATACTCGAAAGGGAGTGTGAGGGAGAAGCAGAGAAGGCGGATAAGAAACGCTACCTATCCGATTTTTGAGTTTATTATCGTAGCTAAAGGGAGGGAAAAAAAAAAAAAAAAAAAAGGGTACAGTACGGTTACACGGTCTAAGCCGCGGGAGATCCACTATGACATGGAAGTAGATACGTATATTCCCGGGCATGGTATGGGTTCATGGTTCAAGGATGATAGGTGAAGTATGTGGAGCCTCCTGCACGTTAAGGCCAAGTAGGCACTAGCAGGGATATCTCTCGCGCCAGCCCAGAGAGAGCTGGTCCAGAAGAGGCCAAAGGTATTTTATTTTAGAAGATTGCGTGAGGTCTCACAATGACGTAGTTGAGAAACGAGAGTAAGAAAATAGTGTATATCCTTGACCAACTTCCCTGCGATTTGGGCATTGGCCAAATTCAATGGTCAATGGCCAATCCAACCGTTTTCGCAGATGCAATGGCGTAGGTAACTGTATCCAATATCAGCCCATGGGAACAGAGGCGCAGAGGCGCGGAGGCGTAGATGGCGTAGAAGGCGTCGGGACTTGCAGCAGGATCATGCAACTTATTGATTAAATGGCAACGATCAAAGCCAATAAAGATACTCGGACAATTTATGTGTTTCCTCGTTATCAATTGCTTTAATTGATCAATAAGAAGATTATCCAAGAGAAAGTCGTTGTCGTCTCATGCTTTTCTCTACTTTACTCTCTCTACTTGCCGGGACTGAGACAATAAAGTGCGTGGTGTGGCGGCTACGAGTTGAGAATTAAACCTCTTAACCTCAACTATACTCAACTAGGTACTCAACTTACCAACTACTGTGCCGTATGTACGTCGTTTACGAAGAAACACCCCGATGGCATGACGCGACGATATCATTGGACGGAGGCTAAGTTGTTTCACGGAGATTTGTCGTCTGTGTGTCGAGGAAATTAATGTCGTTAGATTTTGCATCCGCCGTCCGCCGTCAAAAGGATAAATTCCCATGGTAAGTAAGGTCTAGGTACTACAGTGAGGACCTCAACGCTTACCATACATGCTGCATACCCACCTTGTGCCTTGTCCGTATACGCGGGAAACTTACTACAATTGTGATATGTATCAAGCTTGTCATTTTACTACCCATCGACGTCCTCACCCCTGTCGCCATCCGCCCACACCCATCACCCAAATCATCCATCACCCAAATCACCCATCACCCAAATCACCCATCACCCATCACGGCCTTTTTTCCCGTTATAGTTTATCTTACAAGCTCGAACCGTCCCAACGAGATCGCTAAGCCCTGAGATAAGGAGGGAAGACAGTCTAGGAACGCGTGGTGCTTTGATCTTTACATACATACTCCTAAACCGTTGCCCCGCTTGAAAGTCGACCGGGACCGATTCAGAGACCTTATCTTAGCTGTCGATCTTCGCAAGTTGCGTTTCATTGATGCAGTATCATTACAGATGGCTTGTCTAGACTGTGTCTCACGTGAAGCAGGAAACATTAGATAACGAAGCGTCTTCAGAGAATATCTCATATATATTAAGTACCTATATATTAGTATACCTACACAGCAGAGTAGTGTATAGCATGTTACACTAGACGTGCACGACAACGGGTTGCTAATGTAGGTTCATGCTTGAACTACTATCACATTAGACTACCTATTAGGTATCTATTACTTAGGTAACTAACGAATATAAGATCTTCGGTCGGGGTAACTGTCAGAGTGTCAGAGTGTCAGAGTGTCAGAGTCATGTTTACGATTAGTACGCAGAATACTGAGTAATATTCAAACTAAATAAACCTGTTATCAACCACAAAACCTACTAACGAGTTCAGCTCTCGACGATTCCTGGCCCTAGTAGCATCATACTACACTAGGCCGACTATCCCCCAGTTCGTTAAAGCCAATGGTACTATATGGTAAATGTTCGCTGAAAGTTCCTGCATTCATTCGTGTTACTCGAAATACGACCCGTAGGTTACCTACATAACTAGGTCACCACGGGGAAAAGGAAAAGAAAAAGCGAAGAAATCAATTGTCGAGATAAGATAATAAGATAAATTGATATATATATATATATGTTAGGCATGTTGCTCTATCGAGTAGTAGCACGGCTGGCTCGGCGGGAGACCTGCAGGCATAAGGCTTCGCCTCATACATTGGCAGCATTTCATCACCAATAGCGACACCCGGCATCCTGTTCATCATGTTACTCATACATATCCGGTTGTCGCCATCTGCATCT